TCGTTTCGGGAGTCGCCCGCCCGGCTGCCTTGCCAATGCTCCCGCGAACAGTAGGCGTCGTTGTCGGATCGTGGCTTCAATGCTCTGTCTGGCATTCGACCCTCTTCAGCGTCTGGGCGTAAGGGAGTTGCCGGTAGGTGTCTTTATTGCGCTTGTACCCGATGACTCGAAGGAGCAGTTGGTGGTGTATCGACCGCAGCGTCTGATAGTGGCCGCTGAGTGGNACTAGGCGTCGTTGTCGGATCGTGGCTTCAACGCTCTGGCATTCGACCCTCTTCAGCGTCTGGGCGTAAGGGAGTTGCCGGTAGGTGTCTTTATTGCGCTTGTACCCGATGACTCGAAGGAGCAGTTGGTGGTGTATCGACCGCAGCGTCTGATAGTGGCCGCTGAGTGGTGACCATGTCATGCAGCCGTACAGCAGTGCCTTCATCGCCTCCGCCTGGAGCAGGCGGATCTTGAGTCGGAATGGCGTTGTACACGTTAGTTGTTGATACAGTATCAGTAGTAATCTCACCCCGCAATCTCCCTACTTGTAGCAAGAGATCTTCCCGAGCGAGTCCGCACTCAACAACAAACGAACCAGATTGGTTGTAAGAAAAATGGTTGTTTTCGTTTCGTCCCATGGGCGTCGTAAGTATTTATACCCACCTGCGTCTTTGGGTATGTATACATTTCTGGACGGACCATCACCAGCCGGGCTCGCACAGGAGCATCAAGGCCGCACAAGTAAACAGTTGAATTTCCGTGCTACATGAAAGCGTACGCACGCATACATCTGTGGCGGCTTGCGTTTGAAGCAGCGTACGTACGTGGTGTCTGACACAAAAACGACGCATCATCTCGGCGGGGGGTGACCATTATTCATAAGTCTCAGGCCCAATGGTCAAGTCAAATATTTTCAAGACTTTGGTTCAAAGGCAGAAGCAAAGCCAACTACCCTTATATCGTTGCTGTTTATATTTCGTTTGTACCGCAATAATATCGAAAGTCAACAGCCAGGCTGCTGCTTCTGCGTTCTGTCAGCATCAGGTATTAGCACGAAGCACAAGAAAAAAACGCGTATGAATTCAACCAAGTAGCGCTTCCGCACCCCGCAACACAACTCCCCCCGCCCCCCCCTATCCGCATTCATTCCACAGCGTGCACGCATGAGCCAAAACCACAAGCACCAGCACGAAAAAAATCAAGTGCCTCCTAGTCCAAACAGAAAAGACTCCACCATCACCAAGCTGGTGCTTTAGTCGTTGGAAACAAACACACAAACAAACAACGTGGAGAAGATGAGAGTCCACTCAACCGTTGATGACATACTACACAGGGGCCTTCGGATCAATCTATCCCTCGCCCCTTCCTACAGCCCCTCCCACCCTCGCGGTCGACTTCCCAAATTCGTCTACGTAGTAAGCGCATTGCTGGTGGTGCAGGAACAACGAAGCAGCAGGACGATCCACCTCACTCCGTAGAGGGCGCTACGAGGGAGGAAAAAAACTCTTTTTCAGGGTAACGCCATACCGTACCGTACCGTATCTCTATCAGCGCCAAGCGCGCCCCACAACACAAACTGGATCGAAGCTAGCTCTACTCGGTTTTGCGTGAAACCACTGCTGTAAGAGGAGAGAGCGGAACCTGAAAAAAAAAAAAAAAACACGCACAAGAACCACACAGACATTTGTTTGCGAACCCTGTCATCCCGAAAGACGCAGGAGGAAGCGAGCACAGCTCATACAAGTACAAAATACGTCGGGCGGGATGACGGAGGGGGGGGGGGCACAAAAAAAACCCTCCCCCCTCCTTTCGCCCCCAGCCCCCGCTCCCCAAACCATGCAGAGCAGAGCGATTCCTGCTACCGGACCCCCCCTTGGCACGCGGGGGCGAAACACAAGGAACATTCTGTGCACCGCCGTACGCACCCCGAAGCTAGATTCTCCTTTCCACTTCCAACAAAGAAGCGCAAAAGCTGTTGTTTATAGCAAAGGTTATAATCACCATGCACATGCACTCGGTACCTAAAACGAATGAGGGTCTCTTCCCCGGGGATTGATCAAGGCCTGACAACCAAGACCTGCTGCTGCCTGTATGTCGAGACGAGCGCGAACACGGGGGTGGTCACAGCAGTTCAGTCCTTTCCCCTCCTTGTTCATCTAAAGCTTGAGTTCAACTCTGTTCCGGCTGCTCGTCAACGCGACCGATCCATCAATCGGTCGCTGCTGCGAGCTTGTTTTCGCCGGCCGCCCATCAGAGTAAAACTCAAATAAAAAAAGCGCATCAGAAATCCACCAAACAATCTAGATACGAACACAATTGTTGACCCCCCCTTGCCTTATACTCCCGTCTGCTGCGGCCCGCAGTGTGCCCCTGTGCCGTCGTCTGCTATTCCAAGACTAGATTGCGCCTCTACAACGAGCGCAGGCAATAGACGCGCCTCGCAACACGTGTGGTGATTCTCAGCTAGAGCCACCGTTACCTTTGCGAAGCATCCTTGCTCCCAAGCAAGTTTATCAAAGCACGGGTGGTCGGCTTAACATGCATGCGTGGAGAGAAAACGCACATATGATCCCACCGTCGTCAAAAGGGCGGGCCTTGCTTCTTCCCGTTCTCTCGATGCTCTCGAACAAAAACAAAGGGTGACTAATTTTCAAGGAGAGAGGTTGGGTGCCTCCAGCGCCTTCCCCGCCTCCTCGATTCTCAAAAATGAGCCGTTTCAACAAAGCTCTGATTGACCCCGTCTCCTGAAAACACGACAAATCACTGGAATTGTTCCCCTGCTCTGATGCTCGAGCCACAAACAAGAGAGTTCGTTTCTGTCCAACCTGGCCCTCCTTCTTCTCGCAACCAAGGGAGTCGATCGGTCCGCCGATGACTGGCCCGGTGTACTCTCTCTCCCTCAGTTACAGCTGGCCTGGCACCGCTTTTACTGCTAACGGGTGTGCTGCTACTCTTACTAAAGACGCGGTGGAACTAGCTAGCTAACTACCGTAGGTCGTAACGTGGTCCTGGTCTTGTCTCCGCTCGAAAAAGAATAGGGAGGGGTGTAGCTTGTCCTCCTCGCACCGACCAAGGACCCCCGCAAAGTCCGGGCCAATCTGCACACACGGGAGGATCGGGAACAGTGTGTACAGTAGAACGCAGATTTCGTTCATTGAATCCGCCAAATTTTCACGGCCACCCAATTCAGTGCAGTCGACGTCAACAAACACACACCCACACAAAAGAGTGTCAGCGTTTCTTATCCCGCCAAATGAACACACACGTCTTTCCATTGTTGAGCTGGTTCCAAGACGTGTGTGGTGCGGTCGACGCGATTCCAACACCCACAGACACCATGCCCACGAGAACGGGGACGACGCACAGCACAACCCGAAGCCAACACGCTTCAATACAATGCGGAAAATAACACGCCCCAAGTGGCCACGGCCCAGTTGCCGTAGAGATCATGAGGATGGTGAAGAACCCGGGAGGATGGAAGCAGAAACTGTGGAAGGGAGACAAGTTGGAGCTGCTGCTGTTTGGGATTCCAAGGGACATGACGA